ATCTCTCTTGAAAGTACTATTCTCTCTCTCTCTAAGATCTCCTAATTCTCTTGTATGAGTGAAGTAGTCTTTCCTTGAGGTTGAGTCTTCAATGGTGCTTGTTATCCTCCTTTTACCAAATATTTGTCTATAGTGGTGGTTTTGATAGGGGTTCGGTATTTTAGGTTAGTCTGGTGTTCATATAAGTGATTATGCTTTTTGTGTTGTGTCACCCTTCTGGTCTCCTGGTCTTGGTAGTAAATTCTTAGGGATTCTTCTATGTCTAGCCACCGATAATCTCTATTAAGTTACACCGTATGTGGCCTTTTGTTCATCTACGTTGTTCTAGTGTTTCTGATAGCGAAGGAAATTGAAGAAAATCTCGCTCTCATATACAAGCAAGTATTATCGATTTGGATGATAATTATGTTCGAAATAGCGGTGAGGAAAGTGGACGAACCATACTTGGGAAAATAATAGGGAAAAGAAAGGCTAATTTGGTAGAAGAAAATGTGGCAAATTAAGGAAATTGTAACGACGAGTGAGTTAGGGCGCTTCTTCCGATTAATCTTCTCTGCAGAGGAAGATAAAAAAAAAAAAGTGAAATATGGGTGTATGTGTGTTGAAATAGGTATGGAAATTGAAAATGCATTTAAAAAGAGCTTGATACAAGATGAGAAATCCAATTTCAAAAACTTGTTAAAACATGGAGCCTACAAAAGAGCTTGTCATTACAAACCCAGTGGCACTTACCAGAAACCACAGTCGAAAGAGTATGGTGATAACTGCGTAGGAGGAATGAGCATACAAATGTTACAAGGGGATATAATTCTGAAAATATTACTATAATCTCAATGAATGGTGGAGCAAATGAAGGTACTAAGGTAAAAATAGTGAAGACAAAAACATGGAAAAGAAGAGTGAAGGAGAAGGAAAAACATATAACTAGACAATGAGGTTTCAAAATAGAAAAGGAGATTAAAAGAGAAATACAAAAATAGAAGAGAATGGACGGAAGAATGCGAAAAAGAAAAGATAAACAAACAAAAAATCGATACTACATACAAACAATTTGGAGTAGGGGATAATTGGGGTACTTCTAAGCCACAATGAATCGGAATAGGACTTCCTATAGTCTAGTTTCTCACCACGTCTCAATAGCTCAATGTATAGTCCACTATTTTTGTATATAGGATGAATTCTCTATACGTAGTCTGAAGGCGAATAGGGTTTTTTTGTTTTTTTTGTTCATGCTAAAATAAAAAGGTCTGAATGAAGAAATAAGTGGAGCTTTCTGGAAAATGCTAAGGTGAAGTGGGGTGACTCTAGTGTTGGAGTATACTGTAAAAGCTCGACTTTGTGATTATTCTCAATTCTATTTTCGATGAGATGTGTGTCTTCAGTCAAGTGTATGTTCGTAGTTTATTTATTTATGCGAACATAATGCCTTTATTTTATATTGTAGATAATATGGTTCGATATGTCGAACAAAAAGATCACATTATCGGTGCCCTTGTAAAATATAAATATTTGTTCACAGCCTAGACGAAATTGAACTAACTGACGTGAAAGGTTGTAGTGTGATTTTGAATAAGTTGGTCTTCGACGAATGAATTACACTAGTGCATCTCAAATGTATTGGACGGACATGCGAAGGATAAGATTATTTTATACTGACCAAGTAAATATTCTGGACCTTCGTAAATGTTGCGTTCTCTTAACTCGTAAGACAATATAAACGGGCATATGCATTCGGTACTTATTTATTTAATTTACCAAGGGTGAGACCTATTCTGGTAGGTCGATAGACTCAGTACTTTGGTAAATAATGTCGAGTGTATGATGTGCCATAAAAATTGGTTACAGTCACCGTGTCTCAGTCCGCATGGTTGATGACGTCTTCGAAATGAGCTCAAGAAGAATTATTATGTTAAGCCCGACCAGCGGATTAATTTCTGACATAATGATAAAGAATTGAGTGGTACTAATTTCGGAACAAGAAGTTGATTAATATTATTGTCAGTAATCAACGTACGATAAATCTTAACCATGGAGAGGTAAATCAAGCAATTAGTCAGAAATTAATTATTTGTAAATTCAGATAAAACCGAGAGGTTTTAAGAGAGTAAAATTGTGGGGCTTTGGAAATCTGATGAGTCGTCGACCATGACGAATCGGAGCAGGTAATTGGTCATACAGCAGAAGATCCCAATGTCTTGTTTTCGCATCCCGATGAATATATATGCATTGTAGCTCTCTCTTACTTATCTTTAGAAAAGTCAACTTTTCAGAATTAATTTGAGTTTTTCAAAATATTTAACTTCTAACTTCTTCGATGGCACTACGGTGAAACCTCTACTTTTAAACTTGCTGAACTGCTTTACTTAAAAGTTTAACTTAAGCCTCTCACTTAAGTAATTATAGGAGCTCTCTTTCCAAGTCTCAATTTCAAGCATGCTCAATTTATAAAATCGAGTGTAAACATGATGTCTCAACTTAATAAACATTTTAAATTCAAAGGTCAAATACCCAAAACAACTGAGAAGTTAAACAAGTCTGATAAATATCCCAGTTCTTAAAACCACTGTTTTAAAAACCGTACCGTACCGGCCGGTAATACCGGATACCGACCATTGGTACGGTACAATTGCACACATAATACCGGATTTACGGTTATACCGGTTTGTACCGTGGTTATACCGTAAATACCGGAAAAAACCGGTGCAAAATACCAGTCATAAAAAAAATAAAAAAACAAAAAACATTATTAATTTAAAAACATAAAATTTAAATTGGTAGTTAGAATGTTTTATTTCTATCTCATTGGTAAGTTAAAATTAATGATTATGGTTATTTATTTTTGTACTTTTTTACATTTAGTATTATACATTTTTATATATAAATATATATATCATTATATTTGTTAGTCCGGTAATACCACCGATATTACCGGTCCTACGGGTAATACCGCGTACCGGTGGCTAGACCGGTATGGTCACCGGTACGGTATTTAAAACATTGCTTAAAACCATTGTCTAAAATCATAAAACGATAATTTATTCAAATGAGGACCACTACCTTCCTGTGCACGTCCAATTCAATCAACATGAAAGGGGGAAAAAATGAGAGTGAGCAAAAACACTAGCTTAGTGGAAACATACTGCGCCGTTATTCAAGATAATAACATATATTACAACAACAGTATAAACATGAATAAATCGGTGATCTCAACTGTATAATAAAAGAAAAAAATGTTATATAATTCAAAAAATTATTAATTAAAATATCAAGTATCCTTTGTGTAAGCTTTAAATAATATAAATAAGTTTTTCTTTATCTTATGTATTTTTAAATCTTAATATATATAAACTTTTATAAAATTATTAATATTATTATAATTTAGAATCTATATATTGAATTATTATATTATTTATAATTTAGAAACTATTTATTTAAATATTATATTATTTATAATTAAAATCTATTTACTTCTTTAATATATTTTTATAATTCAGAATATACTTATTCAATGGTCATATTATTTATAATTTAGAATCTATTTATTCAACTATCATAATATTTATAATTTAGAATCTATTTATTGATTTATTTAATTTATTACTTCGAATCTATTTATTCAATTATTATATTATTTTCATTATGTTTTATGATACAAATAAATAAAGTCACATTTATAACTGGTTGGTTTTCATAACCTTAAGGTCGTGGGTTCAATCCCACTACTGAGATTTTATTTTATTTTTACGTTAACATATTAACTGTAAGGGTATAATGGTAAAATCAATGAAAAAATAAAAATATAATGATAAAATAAATAAAAAAAGTAAAGGTATAGTGATAAAGTTTACGAGAAAACAATGTAGTCAATAGTATAGTGACAAAAAAGTCAGGAAGACATTAAATACAAAAAAATATAAGACAATTTTTTTTTTTTTTTACATTTAGTATAATACAAAGAGCTTTAGTGCAAAAACCCAATTACGTAATTATATTGTTAATATTGAAAAAAAAAGTGAGGATGAGTTAAATTTGAATTAGACTTTGAATTTAAAAAAGTGACTGATTAAAAGTGATTAAGAATTTATAGGAAAATCCTTGTTCAAGCACCCTCTCAAGATTCCACAACAATGCAATCAAATATATCCACCATAAAAGGTAGCCAAATGCAACAAAAGAGCTGACACTGTTCTTGTCAATCCAAAGAAAGTCTAACAAAATAAACATCCTCACATAAAATTTCCCCAACACATGTTTCACACACAAGTTCCCCCCTCAACTAATAACAGGAAATGAGATTAGATGCTTAAGATAGCAAGAAAAATAGCACAAAATTGAAATCGGAACTGAGTTTTTCCTCCTCATGCCTCCACATGGAGAGCTCCACCAGAGCTGGCTCTGACCACACAATTCTCACTTCAGAGGAATGAATCTTGAAGAGTGAGTAGCACCAATACCTGGTCTACCATGCCTGACTGGCTTATACGATATCGAGAACTCAGCAAGATAGTGACTTATCATTTCAGGCTTGATCTCAACCGGGTTGAAGGTCTTGCCATTGTAAACACCAAGTACACTCCCAATCATCTCAGGGACAATGATCATGTTCCTAAGGTGGGTCCTCACGAGAGCAGGCTTCTCTCCAGCTGGAGCTTCACGTTTCTGCACAACAGGCAGAAACTTAGAGACTCCATTAATTGAAAATAATATAAACTCCCATCCTTTTACTATGAATTTGTCACGTCATCTTAACTATGTATAGTTTATGAAACATTTTACATGTTTAAGTGTTGTATGGAGAGAAACTATGGGTAGCTCCAAATGTCATGAATTAGAGCATGTTTTCATCAGCATTCCACATTCAGCAATTAAGGGGTCGGCAGAATTTACAAATGCAGGTGACTTATTGGTCATCACCAAAAACATTTGACTACATGTATCCATCATCCTTCATTAATTTGATGGTTCACAAAGTGCAATCAAATGAAGCAAAAGGTTCACATTATAATTAACATGAATCACAATACATTCGGTTGACACAGTAATTTGACATAGAAAGTTTACCGCCTTGCGCAGCTTCTTGATCAGAGCCATTGGCTTCCTCGTCAGACCTCTCTGGAACCTGGCATTTCATCATGCAAGCAACACAATGAGAATGTCAAATCTCCATAGTTCAAAGACCATCAGATTAACTTCTTAACACCAGAGCCACAAACAACATTCCTCAGAGAAACTAAATAAATCAATGAATCCACTCAATAATGAAAATCCAGTTTTAAAACCATACACACGAAAATGCGCTTGGCTTTCTATAAGACCTCTCGTAACATTTCAATAGCAATGTCCAAAACTAAATTACCCAACTTCATTACAGTCTATTAAATTTACTGATCGGATAAGTGATAAAACCATTACTAGCTCGAAGAAGAATACAATTTACCTTCTTCTGGCACGGGCAGGGAAGAGCTTGACGAGATCATCAGTGGACATATCAAGTAGAGCATCAAGATCGACGCCCCTGAAGCTGAACTTCTTGAACGTCCTCTTCTTTGGCTGCCCCGTCGCCAACTCGTTCTCAACATCCGCCTGAAAATGCAAAGAAAACAACAAAAAAGTGAGAAAAAAGATTGGGAAAACGTATAGTGCGTTATTGCAGAGTGAATCTGAGGAAGTAATCGGTCACCATTGTTGCTGCGTGGAGATCTCTGGGGTGCGGAAACAATGTGGACTCCGCGGCTAGGGTTTCTGAGCTGATTGGAGAATCAAAATGGCGCGTTTGGGCAACTGGGCTTGAACGGTTAGATGTGGCCCATGTTTAATGGCCCAGAAATGGTTTAAAAAAGGCCACAATTTTGAGACTTGAAGTGTTTAAAAGAAGCCGACTAAATAAATTGTTATGTTAGTGGTATGATTTTATTTTTTTATAAATAAAAAATAAAAAATTGGAATTTAGATTCTCCATTCTATTTGACATTAGATGGAATTATTGTGAAGCAATAATATAAGTATTAATACCACTTGTTGATACACAATTTGGCTCCGATTAAATAAATAATAAATTAAATAATAAAATACGGCCCAATGACCGAGGAGCCAAAAATACATAATAAATGATATACGAACAAGTTCTCGTGATGGATCACCTAAAAACCGACCAGGTTCCCAAATGTCGAGTCAACTGCTACCGAGCCGAGGAGACAGACATCGGTCGGAACCGTCAAGGGTCATTAGCGGGTCCCCCAATGACTACCTCTCATTAAATGATAATGTACTACCTTTTATTTATTTTTAATTGCCCACTTGTAAAAAAGAGGTGGACTTGTATATATATGTAAGAAGGAGGAAAGAGAAGGGGGGCTTCCTCCACTCTTCATTTTTTCCTTCCCACACAACACGAGAGAGAGTAGGGGCGGTTGGATGATGCTCTCTCCATTTTTTCATTTTCTTCCCAAGAACAAAAGAGAGGATTCTCTCCAAAAATAAGAAATAAAAAGCATCCTTTTTAACAGTTTTGTTCTTCAATTTCGTACAAGTGATTAGACCTATAATCGACCGTTGATCGTCCGATTTTCGACATCAACAGTTTGGCGCTAGAAGGAGGGCTCCGTAATTTGCTCGGAGTCAATTTTCGCCGGAAAATGGCTACATCTCCACCGGCAAACGCTTCCTACGAGTTTGCCTTTTATGGTATTATGCTCTCGGCATTCCTTTCCTCTAATTTGGGGAGGTAATATCATTTTTCTAAGGGTATTATCACTTCCTCCATAGCTAAATAATTTATGGAGCTCAATTTCTTCATCTTCTTCCATGGCTATACCATTTTCCCTTTATCACTCAAAAAAAAAAGGAAAAAGGGAGTTTCTTTTCCCAAATTTAGAGCTAGAAGATTATGCTGGTTACCTCACAAAGAAAGAAATCATCTCATAAAATCGCTTCTAATAATCCAAATTAAGTTAGAGCTCCTCTTCTTTTTCCTTTATATGGATCTGCAAATTCACTTCACGTTGTTCTCTTTCCTTTTTTCTGATTTTTTCTTTTCTTTTTTGTTGACTAAAAGAAGGTGCACCCCACTTGTGTAGGTATCATTATTATCTACTTCATCATTACATACTGCACCCTATCCCATCACATCATTTGAGTATACAATAATAATAATAATATAAAAAAAAAAGCAAAACAAAACAAAACAAACGAAAACGAAAAAAGAGAAGAAAAATTCCACATAGGAAACGTCGACTTCCACAGCTTCATAGCCACATTCTGTCCTCTTCAAGACGGCCTACCATCATCTGTTCAAGCCGGCTAAGGTGCCGACCTCGCTAAGTCGGAACCCCGACATCTCCGACTTCAGCCAGGGACCAACACGAAGCCGCCGGATCGATCTCGCAACTGCCGGGCTAACCTCGCAAGCCCATAGACGCCGGGGTAGACCCCGCAAATGCCGAACACCGATTTCAGCAACCAACGACGATCTCGCTCCACCGGCAGCCGATCTCGCTACCTCCTCGACACCGCTCGGGATGACTCTACCCCTCACTGCTGCCGGTCAATCTCAGGCCGCTGAAGTCAAATTGACACCAAAATCCGGGCTGAACTCGCACCAGATGCCGAGGTTCGATCTAACCTTGGTCGACCACGTCCGCGACCAACACATAGTCGGCACCGACCTCACTAATCCAATCCATAATCGCCGGTGCCGACCTCGCAGCCTGCAGGTCGACTCCACACCACGGCAGCCGGGACCAAGCCTCTTCATCACCAAGCTCGGGCCGCCACATCACAAGCAGAACCGCCCCATGTCGCCGGACCAACTCAGTGCCAAAGTCCGGGCCGACGAACCGAAGGTGCCGGGTTGAACTTGCACCCTCGCTGGCGGGCGGGTCTCAAAGGACAGCCACCATGGCCGACCTCGAAGTGTCGACCTCATCATACCGGCCTCAACATATCCGACCACATCCACAAGTGCCGAGCTCGTACAACTTCACAGCACAGGTTGAACGCCTCGACGCCGAAAGCACAGGTTGAACGCCTCGACGCCGAAGTCCGGGCTGACCGACACCCGAGGCCACAACCACAACCGGATGCCGAGCTTGGACTCCAACAGTCAAGTTTGGGCTGACCCAAATTCATAACCATAACCCGACGCCGAGCTTGGACTTCGATAGTCAAATTCGGGCTGACCCGAATCCATAACCGCGGTCACACGCCGACCTTGGACTCCAAATCATTCAGGCCGACTCGGATTCAAAGCCGACCAGTCTTCGGCGCCGACCACGCTTTTTTCGGTTTACCACAGCCTGTGGCCGACCTCAACACAAAGCCACCGGGTCGACATCAAATAACCGCCGTCGTCCGGCCTCACCATCTCAGGGGCCGACCTCGGAACCGGCGATCTTACCCAACCTCAAATCGCAACTCCCTACCTCACAACAACCCGGCCAGGACCAACTCCGGCCTCTCCACCCTCAAGCCGCCGGGCTTATCTCACAGCTGGTGCCCGCACCAACCTCGTCGTCTCAGGACGACCACACCACACCACAGAAATCCCCCACTCACTACCGGCGCCGACCTAACTTCCTCGACCAGACCGGTGCCGACCCCACAGCCGGGGCCCGACTTCACAAGAACCGAACTCAGCAGGGGCCGACCTCACAATCGGTGGGCCAGATTTTATTCCTTGTCGTCGATCACAGGCGCCGGCCGGGCTCAGTCACACAACCGGCGGCCGAGCTCGCTTCCTCACCCGCCGACCAGCTCCAAACCGCCGGCGCCGACCTCCGATTTACCCCCGCAAATCGCCGATCTCGCACCCCCAAAAATCACTACCAACCCGCAGCTCTCAGGTCCCAGATGCCGAGCTCACACCCGACGCCGAACAAGCCCGGGTGCCGACCTTTCAAGACGCCGACTCCGCGAACGGCACCCTCAAACTTGGACGCCGACCTCGGATTCAAATGCCGGCCACCGCTGCCCCTGCTCCACCGATGGCGAGTTGCTGCCCCTCTTCCACCAACGCCGAACCGCCGCCGTCGCCCCCTGACTCCGATGTCGAGCTCGAGCTCGCAAGGGCCGGATATCCAAACCGCAAACCGGTTTGAACGCACAACCCAATTCTAGGATGAAACGAAATCGAGGAGTGTAGTAGAGCGAAAGATCTAGGCGATCTGAAATGATTTTGCTGCGCGACCTATTAATCAAAAGCAACACGCCTACACCTAAGAGAGATTTGGGCTTTCTATTGGGCCAAGCAGTGGAGTTGTACGATAAGGATTAGGTCTGGTAGTAAAACTAATTTGAATAATATTCGGGCCTAATAGTTGAATGTGGGCTTATGTAATAAAATTAGAGTAAATAATAGAAATGGGCCCTAGATAATTTTGTAATAGATAGAATAGGTAAGGTGTTGTAATATACAGAGTAGATGTAAGAAATAGAATGAGGTCAACAGCACCGACTGATAAGCGATTAAAGTCTCGAAATCGAGGAGCTCGACAGGGACCTGAAGAATAAAGTCGAGCAGCTCGGCGGGAACTGGAGTAAAGGAAGAATCAACCTTCTCCAGTCGATAATACTCATAGGCCTACACCCTACACCGGTCTAAGGTAATCCTACCCTCAATTTCGTTTCAAATACATTACATATAAATAGATATGTATATATATTGTGTGACACATACATAAATAATAACGTAATAAAAAATAGAGCCCTTGCTCCGGTCGATGCCATTATCCAGTCCGGCGACGAGCCCCTGCTCTGCCGGGCTGACGTCGTTACATCGCCCGTCGTAGAGCCCTTGCTCCGGTCGATGCCATTATCCAGTCCGGCGACGAGCCCTTGCTCTGCCGGGCTGACGTCGTTACTTCGCCCGCTGTTGAGCTCTCGCTCCGGCCGGGCCGACGTCTCTATCCAGTCTGGCGACGAGCCCCTGCTCTGCCAGGATGACGCCGTTACTTCGCCCGCCGTTGAGCCCTTGCTCCAGCGAGGCTGATATCCTTACTTCGCCCGCTGTTGAGCTCTCGCTCCGGCCGGGCCGACGTCTCTATCCAGTCTGGCGACGAGCCCCTGCTCTGCCAGGATGACGCCGTTACTTCGCCCGCCGTCGAGCCCTTACTCCAGCGAGGCTGATATCCTTACTTCGCCCGTCGACGAGCCCCTGCTCTACCGGGCCAACGTTATCACTGCTATCGTCGCCAGACCTACGCTTCGCCAGGTCGGCACCTACATCTTGCCCGCCGACGAGCACCTGCTCTACTGGGCCAACGTTACCACCTCTACTACCGCCGGACCTGCTCTTCGGCCAGGTCGGCACCTACATCTTGTTTGCCAACGAGCCCCTGCCCTGCCGGCTAACGAAATTATTACTCCCACTGCTGTCTTGCCTTCGCTTCGGCCAAATTAATATCTTTATCTCTACCGCCAACAAGCCTTAGCTCCACCAGGCCTATTGACACTTTGCCGGCGCGACGAGTCCCTGAGAGCAAGCCTCAACTTCGCAGACGAGCACTATGAGCCGAGCTCATGAACGCCGCATGTAACAGATGAAACGCGAGATACGCCAAATCCCAAGTCAAACCACCCTCATATCAGATCAACGACGTCCTCCTACACGGGGCCTACCGACTTGAACACCTGGACGGCACGCGCCCGTCAATACCTATAAAACTCAGCGCTTCTGAAGAAGTCTTACCAATAGGTCTGGGCTATTCTCACTCAATGAGTGACGTTATTGTATAGGTTATTCGCTGAGCCAGGTCAAGAATGCAATTTACCTTTTGCTTTTAGAGGCTAGGTCGTCTTAGGCTTAGATCGAGTCGAAGCGGCATAATTAACGTAAGGAACGAAGTGTTGGCTAGGATCAGTACGATGACCTAGTCGGCACTAGCCGGGCTCAACTAGGAAGCCCGGTTAGGCCAATAATACCACCGAGTCCGAACGCGAGACCGGTCAGGTAAGCTGCCACATAATTATGTGCAGGTCGGGTCAGTACGATGGCCTGGCCGGCACGAGCCGGGCTCGGCAAAGTAGCCCGGTAAGGCCCAAGTTGCCAGCGTAAGAAATGAATAACGAGCTCAAACGCGAAGCTCAGCAAGGCCAGACCGTCGCCCGATTCAGCGAGCAAGTCGGACAGGTAATGCGCCAAAGTAATCAATAAATACCGAGCCCGATCACGAGGCTCGACCAAGTAATAAATTCACGCAGGTCGGGTTCAGTGCGATGGCCCGGCCGGCACAAGTCAGGCTCAATCACGTAGCCCGATCAGGCCACAACCGCCAACATAAAAAATGTAATAAATAAGCGCCGAGCTCGATCATGAAGCTCGGCCAGGCCAGGCTACCACCCGACCCAATGAGCGGATCGGATGGGTAATGCGCCATCATAATCATTAGTGCAATAAATTGCACAAACCGGACTCGACAAAGGGGTCCGATTAGGCCGAAATGCCGTAAAACTAAAGGCGTACGAGCCATTAGGCCGAAATGCCGTAAAACTAAAGGCGTACGAGCCATTAGGCCGAAATGCCGTAAAACTAAAGGCGTACAAGCCATTAGGCCGAAATGCCGTAAAACTAAAGGCGTACGAGCCATTAGGCCGAAACGCCATTAAACTAAAGGCCTACGCGCCATTAGGCCGAAGCACCGTTAAACTAAAGGCCTACGCGCCATTAGGCCGAAACGCCGTAAAACTAAAGGCCTATAAGCCGTAAGGCCGAAGTGCCTGAAACTAAAAACCGAACTGCAAAAACAGTTCGGCCCAACTAAACATGCGACAAGATGCTCTCATTCATCATACATACATAACATACATTCATTACATACATTCATCATACATTCACGCATCCTCATGTGATCGCATTATGCATACAGTCTCGTAAGAAATAAAGAGCTCAAAGCTCACTCAAACAAAGAGCTCAAAGCTCACTCAGACAAAGAGCTCCAAGCTCACTCATGTCGACAATTCGAAATGCATTCCTGCATAAAAACGGGTACCAAATTACCCAACTAGGCCGCTCAGGCCCCATCCAATAGCAAATTCGCAAAATTGCACATTCTCTCAAACTGACTCAACTCGTCAAAGATTAAAGCGTGATTATCGTAAATACGTTAGGCTAAAGCCTAAAAAGATTAACAAAACGCGCAAGGGTCCCGAAGTGCCCGAAAACAACAAAACGACGATCCAAGTAACCAAAGTTACTCGATAAAGATTAAATGAGTCCTCGAGACGCATAAAGTAAAAGCCGACAAGACAAATGTGATCTCTTGAATCACGCGAAAGTTATCCGTCACACGCATTTGTCGGCATATTTGCGATTTCACCAATATCTCTCATTACACATATATCCTTCCACAATATAAAGAGCTCGAAGCTCAAAAGATCATGAGGCGAAAACAGCGCCAAATTGTAAAGAATAAACGCGACTTCAGAACAGTTCAATCCAGAACATGTCCTAAACTCGGGGGCCTCCTGTTGATACACAATTTGGCTCCGATTAAATAAATAATAAATTAAATAATAAAATACGGCCCAATGACCGAGGAGCCAAAAATACATAATAAATGAATATACGAACAAGTTCTCGTGATGGATCACCTAAAAACCGACCGGGTTCCCAAATGTCGAGTCAACTGCTACCGAGCCGAGGAGACAGACATCGGTCGGAACCGTCAAGGGTCACTAGCGGGTCCCCCAATGACTACCTCTCATTAAATGATAATGTACTACCTTTTATTTATTTTTAATTGCCCACTTGCAAAAAAGAGGTGGACTTGTATATATATGTAAGAAGGAGGAGAGAGAAGGGGGGCTTCCTCCACTCTTCATTTTTTCCTTCCCACACAACACAAAAGAGAGTAGGGGCGGTTGGATGATGCTCTCTCCATTTTTTCATTTTCTTCCCAAGAACAAAAGAGAGGATTCTCTCCAAAAATAAGAAATAAAAAGCATCCTTTTTAACAGTTTTGTTCTTCAATTTCGTACAAGTGATTAGACCTATAATCGACCGTTGATCGTCCGATTTTCGACATCAACACCACTATATAACCTTTTTTTTCTTTTGAAAAAACATGAAATATAGCCATTGGGTGGTGAGAGAAAATTTGAAGTCAAAATACCTCTTATCCCTTGTGGTAATTTTGAATGAATTATACAATGGTAGATGTTAAACGAATATGAAAATCCTTAAAAAACATATATATGATCAAATCTGTGCAACAACAGTCTAAGGACTCTAAATAAGATTTAGAACCGATAGCGACTAAAATAATCAATAATATAAAGGAATGAATTGCTAAATGTCCTTGCAAAAAACCTCGAAAAACATGAGATAACTCCCAATCAAGAAAGGACTATACCTCTTCTAAAATACTTATATCCTAATAATTTCGTAGAAATAAAGAACTAGGATGTTCAGGAAATGCTTATGACTTTAAATGGGTAAGAGATACCATGAGGAAATGAATTTTCAAGAAAAACATTAAAAAAATAATGAAATATAGTTAATTTTTAATCTAGACGATGAACAAGTTGAAAGACTTAAGCAAACGATCCGTTTCCTAGTATTGGTGATAAAGAAAAATGTAATTCAGATCTAGAATCAAATTCTAAATGAGAAATCATTAAAATCTGATTAAGACGGACAATATTATCAATTTAAAAAAAAATTGAAACTGACACCCAATCAAAATTAGAAATAAACTCCAATAATGAAGAAGAAGCTCTAAAAGAAACGTTTAGAATGGAAAAACCATAATAGTCCAGAACAAAAATTGATCAAGGAATGGATACTGATGAATTCGAAAGACAACCCTTAGTAACTCTTAGAGCACCCAGATCATTAAAAAACAATATCGGTATCCCTGGTATTGCTGGAAAAGTACATACAACCTCTGTCCTATATTTAGACTGTAAGAAACCTGAAACAATAAAGAAATTAATTGATAAATGTGGACTATAAATGAGTCTTGTGATTAATCTTAATCACAATACTTTTAATACAACACAACTTGTGTTAGCACTTGTTGAACATAAAATGCTTGGAAATGCACAAAATTTTATAAAAAGAGTCCAATTGGATACTCAAATTATAAACCCTATAGTAATACTTGAAAGCATTCTGAACAGTTTATACACTCTGTTCTTAGACATTGATAGACTACCAAATGTAGAAAATGAAAAACTCATAGAACAATCTAAAACAAGGATAAGACTAAACAATCTGACCCTTTGTGATATTTTTTATATATCAGACTTCAATTATGATTTTGAAAAGAGCCTTTTCAAATTGGATTTTGGAGAACATCCTGAATACATTAAGATGTAATTAGCAGAAATTCATATTGTGGAAACAGATGCTTCAAACAAGTTTGAAACAAATGAAAATCTTATGAAGTTCAGTTTTGGTTATGCCAAAAGACTTGTAAGAGAAGAAATTTAAAAAATGTGTAATGCCTTAAAAAAGAAGAAAACAAATAAAAAAGTTCAATAAAAAACTGTTGTTCTAAGATTGCATACAAATCTACAGATTATGGTTGTAAGCCGTATACAGGAAAATCTAAGAAGAAATTAAAAATCTTAGAAAATATAAATATCAGAAAAGAAAGAAAATAAAAGCTTTAAACTTGGTAAATATTTTAGGAATAACCTGAAGTTTCAACTGAAGAAGAATTTTTGCCCTAAAGGTAAAACGAATTGTAGATGTTGGATCTGTAACATACAAGTTCATTATGCAAATGAATGTCATAATAAACAAAAATATGAGAAAGTAAAATTTCTTCAGATAGGTGAATCATTTGGTCATGGACCAATTGAGGAAGAATATTCACATATAGAAGAACTGTATACATTAAAAAGAATAGAAGATGAATTCTCTTTAGGAACATCTACTACAGATGACAATGATATATAGTGAAGATAACCTCATCAGTATTACTAATACAAATTCAATCTACATGAAAGGTAAATTGAAATTCGTAGGATATAAACAAATGGAAATACATTACTTTGTTGATACATGTGCAAGCCTTTGTATACTTTCAAAATATATCATCCTTGAAAAACATTGGAAAAGTGCTTTAAAACCACTGGAAGTAAAATTTGCAGATGGAACCACAATTTTAATAAACAAAGTTTGCAAAAGCTTGAACATTTTAATTGCAAGAAAAATATTTTATATTCCAATTGTTTATCAACAAGAATATGATATGAATTTTATTCTTAGAAATAATTTCTGTTAATTTTATGAATTTGTTCAATACACTGACAAAATAATTTTCACAAAATATAATCAATATGTGCATATATAGGAAAATTACGAGCAACATATAGAGTTCAAAATCCAACATATTTATATTAACATTTAATTTCAACAACTAGTTATTATTTTCCATTGGAATTAAATTTAACCATCTAAATAAAAAAAAAATGCGGTTTCATAATAAAACTAAATTAAATTTCAATGCAGAAACTCGTAACTATGACACCTTTATAAATCCATTGCAATATTATGTTACTAATACTGTAATTATGGCACCAATACTAATCCGTTGCAAAATTTGTTACTAATGCACCAAATTCTAGTAGTGAATGATCGACCAACCAAGCTTTTAGGGATCAATCTAAAAGATAACATTTCAACAACTCCACATAGCACTGTCCATAACAGATCGTTGCCTTTGTTTTGCAGCAACATCACATTTGCACATTGCAGACCATGATCATATCAAATTACAAACTAATTAAAAATGGCTGATAAACAGAATAACAAATCCTTCTCAGATAATAATTTAGGCAGCGGTGATTTCGATTTTCTTGACAGCAGTTTTGAGCTCCAGCTGAACACTTGCTCTTGTAGAAATCAAGACTATGTCTTTCCAAACGGAGCCTTGATCATACATTTGGCCTGCCTCTTTGTACAGCTCATGAATCGACTCAGCTTCATCGTTCAACTCGCTAACCGATGTTAGGCATTTAATTTCATCGGGATCAACTAATAGGTTGCAGCCTCCATCTTTCCATGCTATCAGCTGCGTGCACACATACATGTCAATATTTATTAACCATAAAAAAACAAAAAAATTGGTTCATGATCATTTGTCATATGTTCACCTCGAATATTATAAAATGTACCTTTATTTATATCATATCGGCTAATTATCTAATGATGTATGTTGTTTTGTAATTTTTTTTGTTTGCTTCTTTCGTAGATTATTTGTATTCAGCGTGAACCTCAAGGGCATATCATGATATAATTATTATCAAACTTTGTTGGGATATTTTTTTTTTCTCTAGTCCAAATTTCGGGACTAATTTTTAAAAGACATCCAAAGAATAATTATTTGATAAAGACAAAAGTGTTAAATAGACGCTCCCCAATTTTTTATATAGGATAATTACAAAAAAATAACACATTATTTCTCTGATCGTAAATAAAGCAGTCGTCTAATATATCCTTACCAATGTAAACGTTCCACATTAGATAACTTTTGAACAAAATGCAAAAAATAATCCACAGATCTCTTCACTAAATTCAATAATCAAAACTGAGCGACTTAGGTGGACATTTACCTAACAAAAATGCATGCTACTTTCAATGTATGTCGAAAATACTAATTTGAATTTACCTAACACCCGCCATGTTATTTTAAAACTGAGTTACTTAGGTGGACATTTTCAGATTTATATTGAATTGTTATTAGGGATTTTTTCAAACTTTCATCATATACGTTTTGATACTCATTAAGACATTTGTATACTTGCTGTATAACTATTATGTTTTCATGAAATGTTAACATCCTTGCATTATAAGTTATGTCATTAAAATCAAGATAGTTTAACAAAAATAAAATTGAAGACTTATGATAATAAACAACTATTAAACATTAAGGGGATGTATTCAATTGAATTTTATTCTAATTTCCTTTTATTTTTGCATCATGCTACAATATCATAAAAAATATTATTATGATATATTTTTACAAGACACGAATATTGTCTTTAATATTGTGATGAAAGTGAAATTTTTAGCAGGTGTAAACTATACAAATATTTGACATTTGAAATGTCAAATTCACAAACAAACAAATAAGAACAGAACTAAGGAAACATAAAATATCCATAATAAAAAATAAATTAAAAAAATCACGTTAAAAATTTATAATGGAAAAATAAATTTCAAAATCTATCAAGATAAATGAGTATAATAATAGCATGCATGAAAGTGTAGTAAATAGTCATGGAAAATAGTAGTAAATAAAGGAAAAAGTGTAAAAAATTTCGACGTCTCCGAAAAAGCAAGGTTTCGAACACGACACTATCATTTGTTGTGAATAACATATTTGTCTGCCACCATCATGATTTGAAGCAAAATCGTATACATTTAAAATAGTCATGGAAAATAGTAGTAAATAGAGGCAAAAATGAAAAAAAAATTCGACGTCTCCGGAAAAGCATGGTTTCGAACACGACACTATCATTTGATGTGAATAACATATTTGTAGCGCACTATCGTGTTTTGAAGTGAAATCGTATACATTTAAAATAGTCATGGAAAATAGTAGTAAATGGAGGCAAAAATGAAAAAAAGAATCAACGTCTTCCAACAAGCATGGTTTCGAACGCGACACTATCATTTGATGTGAATAACATATTTTGTCTCCCACCATCATGTTTTAAAGCAAAATCATATACATTTTAAATAGCCATCGAAAATAGTAGTAAATAGAGGCAAAAATGAAAAAAATTTTGACGTTTTTCGAAGACGACGCTATCATTTGATGTGAATAACATATTTGTGAAGCACCATCATGTTCTGTAGAAAAATCGTATACAATTAAAATAGCCATGGAAAATAGTAGTAAATAGAGGCAAAAATGAAAAAAATTTTGACGTCTCCAGAAAAGCATGGTTTCGAACACAACACTATCATTTGATGTGAATAACATATTTGTCGCGCACCATCGTGTTTTGAAGCGAAATCGTATACATTTAAAATTGCCATGGAAATAGTAGTAAATAGAGGCAAATATGAAAAAAGTTTGGACGTCTCCGGACAAGCATGGTTACGAACACGACACTATCATTTGCTGTGAATAACATATTTGTCACGTACCATCATGTTTTGGAGAAAAATCGTATACATTTAAAATAATCCTACGTCTCCGTAAAAGCATGGTTTCGAACACGATTCTATTATTTGATGTGAAAAACATATTTGTAACGCATCATTGTGTTTTGAAGAGAAATCGTATACATTTAAAATAACCATTGAAAATAGTAGTAAATAAAGGGAAAAGTTAAAAAAATTTCGACGTCTCTGAAAAAGCATGGTTTCGAACACGACACTATCATATTATATGAGTACGATATTTGTCTCGCACCATCCTGTTTTGAAGCAAAATCGTATACATTTAAAATAACCATGGAAAATAGTAGTAAATAGAGGCAAAAATGAAAAATATTTTGACGTCTTCGGAAAAGCATGATTTCGAACACGACACTATCATTTGATGTGAATAACATATTTGTGGCGCACCATCATGTTTTGTAGCAAAATCGTATAAATTTAAAATAACCATGAAAAATAGTAGCAAATAGAGGCAAAAATGAAAAAACTTTGGACATCTCCGGACAAGCATAGTTTCGAACGCGACACTATCATTTGATTTGAATAACATACTTGTCTCCCACCATCATGTTTTGAAGCAAAATCGTATACATTTAAAATAGCCATGGAAAATAGTAGTAAATAAAGGGAAAAGTGAAAAAAATTTCGACGTCCTCGAAAAAGCATGGTTTCGAACACGTCACTATCATTTGATATGAATAAGATACTTGTCTCGCAACATCGTGTTTTGAAGCAAAATCGTATACATTTAAAATAACCCTGGAAAATAGTAGTAAATAGAGGCAAAAATGAAAAAAATTTCGACGTCTCCAGAAAACCATGATTTCGAACACGACACTATACAAATATTTGACATTTGAAATGTCAAATTCACAAACAAACAAATAAGAACAGAACTAAGGAAACATAAAATATCCATAATAAAAAATAAATTAAAAAAATCACGTTAAAAATTTATAATGGAAAAATAAATTTCAAAATCTATCAAGATAAATGAGTATAATAATAGCATGCATGAAAGTGATATGAGATATATAGTTGTATATATATATATATATATATATATATATATATATATATATTAAACCCTATAGAGAAGAATATTTGAAGAGAGTCATGTAAGTCCAGCAAAATCTCACCAATTTGATGAGATTTCTTTTAGGACTTGAACTTTGAAATTTTATATAGAAAGTCTCCAAAAGTCTTTCAATTTAAAGTCTCATAAAATATTCCTATTTAGGTGACTTATAAGATACATAGGAAGTTTTATTAAATACCTCGAAACTTTTTTAGACTTATAAATGTCTTTAAAAATCTCAATTGAGTACAATTAAATGCATATACACTTTTCAGAAGTCTAAAAAGTTTCAATTCAATATATCATAATTCTAAAAGTTTTAAATTGTTTATAATCATTATTAGCGACACTAATTTTAGTGACGACATTAATGTCATGACTATAAAATGATTATTGTGACGACATTCGAACATATAGAGACATTATTAGCGACGGTATTTTTTGTGACAACTTTTGAACAAAAATTATCGCCACTAAAAATGATTATTCTTGTAGTATTAAAAGTTTCAATTGAATACACTCTCATAATTAATGTATTGTGTCTCATAGTTTACTTTTTATCACTGTTCTAAAAATCGGCCTAGGTGGAACCTAGACGCTAGGCGGTGCCTGGTCGCCTCCAATTTGCACAAATCGGCCAAAGAAAATGGCCAGACGGCTAGGCGGCGCCTAGGCGCTCCCAGGCGGACTTGGCGGGCTCGACGGCCAGGCGGTTAGGCGGGTATAGGTGGACCTAGGTGCTCCTAGGCGGGGTCGGCGGTAATTTTTCAGTTTTTATTTTTTTATTTATTTATTTTTTTTGAAATACTAATTACATTATTTTGTTCTCATGTTTTCTTTAAAATATATTAATTTACTATTTGGGCTTAGGTGTGTGGATTTATTATAAGTTGAGATAGTTTTATTTTGCAGGTAGTTAAATAAATAAAATATAAGGTATTTAATATTGATTTTGAAGCCCCAACTAGGCGTTCTAGGCAGGGCCTAGCAGGCGCCTAGCGACTTTTAAAACACTGTTTTTACATATACTCATCCGAATTGACATAAGAGAAATTGAAATAACAATAACTATGCAAAATATAGAAATATTACTTTCCATTAAATACTAGAACTTACTTTTTTGGAGGTAGCTATTAATTAACATTATTTTCAAAATTTATTTATATTGTTGGAATAAAAATATTACATGGATTATTATAATATGGTATACTAAGGAAATTAGTAGATTGGTTTATTTCTGGAATGAACTAAAAATGGAGGGTGAAAAGTTCTGTCATTATTTATAGGAATGCATGTGGAGTTATAAACTGAAATTATCCAAGTTAGTTACCCTTGGTGGACCTCCCGGGGCATTTGTGCAATATAGCCTGGCATTATCCACAAGCTGAGAGTATCTCGGAAATGCACTAGCAAATCTCTTGTGGGATTTCAACTGTGACTTCACTCTCACAGCCCTCCCAATCTGTATTGCCCTCCTGAACCAAACCAACCAAAATCAAAACACAATCATAAATACACATTTTTGCAATATTTTACAATATTTACATAACATACAAATATAATTACCTGATGCCTCTAACGACAGCAAGATAGGGGTCGCAAACAACCCCAACCAACTCAATCCTGTATGGCTTCCTAACACAACTAATATTATCTTCGTCTTCGCACGGAACCCAATAGTTCTCAGTCACAGTACCGTCCTTCTCCGAGACCTTATACCCTTCTCCCATTCGGTACCGAGTTTTGTGAACATTCCTTGCCATTGAGATTGTTTGCTCCACAAAAGGCTCCCACGAGAGAGTCCCATCCATTATCACATCACGTCCCTCATTAAGGGCACTCACGAGGAGCGATGAAGCCGCATCTGTTGATGATTGGTGCACCTATATATATATTTTGAATTGAAATAATTGTTTTTTTTTTTTTTTTTTTTTTTTTCTGGGTTGATTTTAAGAAATTTAATTACCAGCTCAGCTGTTTGTAGCATGTCCTGGTGATGCCCGCGTGAGCTCAAAGCACGGTAGATTACATCCGTCTCCTTGAAAGCATCGGCCTCCACGACAACCGCATTTGCACCTGCACTAGACCAAAATGATCTGCCAGAAACTAATATTTTATTATTTATTATCTCAATATTACTAAACACGTTTAGATTCAACAACATAACTAGTTGGACTATATATCAAATTTATAATTTACTCTTTCATGACGTCTTTGAGGACGGTGCTCTTGCCAGCGCCCATGCCACCCCCCATAAGGAGGAGGACAGGGCTTCTTTCGCTTAGGGCCACTGGGGCCATCACGTTCGAGACAGTCCCGATTGCTTTCATTTCTTCCACTAGTGTCGAAAACATCCTCGTCACTTTTAGTTCTTTTGTTATCTTATCAAACCTTTGCTTCCTAATAAATAGCATACAACCAAACATTACGATATTAACCGACTCTTATCTTTATCTGATCCGCAGGAAAATCGAACAAGGAGTAAATGTAACTACTCTACAAAATTATCTGAAGCTAAAATTAAAAAAATAAAAATGAAACTTGGTCCCTGCTGAGTTGTGAGATGAGCACATCTGATGTGATGCTATATAGAATAATGCTAGAGTTTTGTAATTAAGTTGATTAGTTAGGCCCCAGAAAAATGGATGTGTGATGTCCTTCAAAGTCAAAAATAATTGAGAATGCCAAGTTAAATATATTAATGTCATCTCATATAGTTTTCAATTTTGGACAACCTGAAATGGATTGAACTTTAATTTTAATAAATCTCATAAGCTATGAATCTTTAACAAGTAATATTATAATTATTTTACATGAAAAAAAAAAAAAAAAAAAAAAAAACAGCTTAAGATGAGCATCTTAAACATGTGCTACACCTCATGTTGTTAGTTAACAATTAAGGCATTGCATTACAGAAAACAACTACTCACCTCGTAGCGGCCATCACAAGGTTCTTGAGCTTTTTTTGTTCCGAATCAACACTTAATATCTGCAAAATTTCCTATAATGATTTTCTTTTCCAGCCTAACTAGTCTATTTCTAATTAGTAATTACTTATGACAAGCATTTCAATTGTATTTTATTTTTCTTTTCCTTTTAATAAATAAAGTTGAATAAAATGGAAAGAACCAAAAGTGGACCTGAGTGATGATTTGAGGGGCATGGGTCCAATGAAAGGCCAAATACCCAAGAATGCATCTCTCAAATTCTTCAACCAATTTCACATACAAACGCTCAGCATTTGGCAAATTCGCCAAATACTCAAATATCTTCTCGTCAGCATCTTTGGTCCTTTTCATGTACTCATACCCCAACTTTACCAATCCTGGACACTCACTCTCATCTTTAAATCCCATTTGCCTTGCTTTAAATCAACGCAAAATTAATTTACCAAAAAAAAAAAATAATCAATATATAAAATTTTGTAATAAATCAACGCATAATTAATTTACCGAAAAAAAAAAATAAAATTAGTCAATAGATGTAATAAATCAACGTATATCCACAAATAATAGAGATACAGATATGCATAAATAACATATTTTGTCTTTTTCCTTTGGGTAAAAAAAGTATGGTACTGAAGAAAATTACCAAGATAATGGGAAAATCTTTCGATATTGGGTAGACGGCCGGATTCGGAGCGGTACAAGAGCGGAGCAAGATGGTCGTAGTACTTTGAGGGCTTTGATCGGCGTTGACGGAAATGCATGACGCCGGCCGAGATTATTCCGATCGAGGCTGCGGCCGCCACGTGTGCAAGTACAATCTTACCAACATTATCTAGAATGTCACTCATATATGAGACAGAAATTAAGGGTTAAAGAAGTAAATACAGACATTAAATTAGAAAAAGGGGGTCCAGAAACTAGACAATACCTTGATGCATTTGGTCGAGACGAGTTTGTTGGTGAAGAGAAAAGTCGTCGGAGAAGATGGCTTGATATTACTGAAGAGTGTTGAGGACGTGATGTGAACTAACACTCGTCAAATCAATAATGGATTGATTTTGCAATAATATTCGTGTAAATGTTATTTATAAATATGTCACTATGATATATTATTGCATTAAAAAAAAAAAAAAAATATCTCCAAACACCCACTTGACGTGTCCCAACCAACCCATAATTCATGAATAATTTTTGGACCACCAACCCATAATTGACCCGCTTTAAATAACATGACATTGGTTGATAATTAGGACATGTTTAGGGAAATTTTATCTCTTCGGCATGATATGAAAAATTTCATTAATCTACCATACAAATTCAATTAATTGAATTTTTACCTACAAGATAAGATTTATATAAATTAATGTCTAAAATTAGTTATCATATCATTCCAACCTCCCCCTATTTTCCCCTTGATTTGTGTCGATTACTAAAAATGTTTGATTAAGATAGAGAAATAAAAACATGCATATAATAAATAACTGACTCCCTTAATTCACGCAACTTATGCATTTTTAAGAAAGATAAATGAAAACATGCATTGTAATTCACGCAGGCTGTTAGGTGTTTTGAATGAGCAGTATATATTGCATTTATAGTAGTATGTATTCAGGTTGCAATAATCTACTGGCGGCATATGTATTGTTTACTTGACTGAAATATTTGGTTTCATATTTTTTTTTCTTTTGGTCGTTTCATTAACTGTGTTTTACTGACGGCATATGCATTGTTTTTTCTTTTCGTAAAAATTGCAGCTAAAACGAACTATATGTTGCGGTAATAGTGATTAAAATGTTTCAGCTCTCAGGTGTATTTAATGGGCAGTATATATTACGTTTATAGTTAGTATATATTGAGTATATGTTGCAATAATCCCCTAATATACCAAAACAACAAAAAACTACAAATTGCTCATTTGTCGAATTCGTCTTCAACATAAAAATTTCCTAATATAACAAACATAAACTATGAATAGAACATCAAATAAATTTTCAAAACAGAAAAATCAAACTTCTGTTCACAAAAAGTACTCAACAATTAAAAATAACCACAAATAAAAACAAAACAAAACCAATTGATATACATAATTATGAAAAATATAAAAAACAACATAAATAATAATCAACCAAAAAACAACAAATTTGCTCATTTGTCAATTTTGTCTTAAAAAAAAAATATAATACACCAAAAATAAACTATGAATAAAACATTCAATAAACATTGAAAGAAATCGTGAAAACCTTCTAATATACTAAGCATAAATTATGAATAAACATAAATAAACAATGAAATAGATCCTATCAGAAGTATTCGAACGTCGCTGCTGGTCACAAACAAACTGTCGTAGGGTCATTGAGATTGTGTTGACGGGAACATATACTAAAAATATACTGTATTTAAATGCAACGTATACTGTCGACATCATAGGCTCGTTGAGATTGTCTAAGATTATTTCTTCTTTTTTTTTTGTTTCTACCTCTGCCGATCGACAATATCGTCTACGTTCATATCTTCTTCAACTCCCGGTTGGAATGTCGTCTTCAACGATAAAATCGAGGTCCTCTGTGGTGTCTTCTTCGAACAATTTGGAGTTCTTTAATTATGGCCATCTCCGAGTCTTATTTTGTTGAATTTCGCATTGGTCGGACTGAAATTCACGGCGAATTTTACCCTTATTCTTGCCGTAACCCTCCAGCTTCAAGTTTTTCTCCAAATTTAGTTTTTTTTTTCTAAACCATGCCAACGCTTTTCGTTTGGAGATTTTTGAGGCGTTAATGTAGGAAATTTAATGGGCATACTCATAACTATCATGCAGAAATGAATAAACCCTAAGTATGTAATTCTATCAGTTTATAGAATATGAATCTTTGCATAAATTAAAATGCACATAAAACTTACAAGAATCCAGCTTATAGTCCTTCCATGTTTTCTTAATCTATGATGTTATCTGCGATCTCTTCCTCGTAATCTCATGGATCTATCTTTCTCATAAGCTCCAATGATTGACTCGCCTTTGCCTATGAATTGTTTCTCTCTCCCGCGTCTCTCGTCTTTTCATAAAGCCCTTGATGTTGAGAACTTTATTTTCGTATGAGATGGGAGAGAGGGGCATGTAGTATATATAGGAGGAGTCCTACAAACTTATTCCTACTAACATTCCCCATGTTCTAACCTAACTTAATGTCCAAGTCAAACATCACAAATTGGACTCTTTAATATTAGAACATTATAATCCATTAAATACATATTCACCTTAAATAAGTTTGACTATTAATTCAATTAGGTCCAATTAATTATATGGTCCACAATAATAGAATAATATACAAAATATTATTACATTCTCCCACTTGGACCATATAAGTATCGAAACCCAAATAATTACTTTAAGCGGGCACCTTTCATCAAACTTATAATTGAATACATATATCTATAAGTTTAAAATCAAACTAGAAATTAACCGAGTCATGGCGATCACAAATCTTCGAGCGACATGATCCCTTCCATGTACCACAAATCATTTATAATTCAACTTTACTTTAATATGGAACAAACTATTCATACCATAACTATAAGTCATCCAACTTTTATGTATATACTATAAAATCAAATGTCCATAATGATGATATTGTATGTGAAGAACCAAACATCTTTAATAGAATTCAATAAGTGTCAAAATCATTAATTGAGCAATTTCATTCTGTATCAGTCAGTCTAACAAGGCCCCATTCGTTATTCCCAATTTTCTTTATATGCCTTGCAACGGCTATAGGGAATAACCTTTCATGGATCCACATTCATGCAATTAGTACTAAAATGCTCAAATGACACTTTATTTCTTCACTTATATTTTATGACCAAGTATTTAAATTTTATGTGATTCACACCCTTTGAATACTTGTCATACCTTGAAATATTATTGCTACAATGCTACGTTAATTTCTTAGCGGCTTGGACAAGATGTCGACATTTTCAAGTCCTAAGTTAAAGCATCGTAGCCCTAAACTTTGACGTGTGGCCTCAAAGCATACCACAAACTCAACCCTACATCGTGGAAGTCGCGATGATGGATTTTTGTTCCACCTTTTCATAACTTTGCTCCTTTAGACATTATGAGCAAAAGTCTGAATCTGAGTATCCAATTATAATCAATAATTTGGATCTTCTTTAAATTAGCATGTGTTCTTTAATGCCTTGTAAGTACTTTAAAAATTTCTTTGCAGCATAATCATTTAAAATCATTTTTATAGTTGTTTAACGTACCAACAACAATATATTATCAAACTTAGTACAGGTTCGTCTCGCTTAAGACTCCTAATCATTTATATCTAAGGAATTTCCTCCATCACTTTTCATTCCATTTCACCTTTCGAACATTTATTTTAGACTAAATGTGTCCCTTTTATGAATTGGAAATTATACGGAACAACCATCCATTATCTCTCAAATAAAAAACTTTTAGTCCTTGTGATCTATTCCAGAATATTTCTATTCAATTAGCAATGACGTTTCATCCACATCCTTTATCTCATAACTTTTTAGAGAGATAATACTTTATTTCGTGCAACATGTCTACATTATTAGCAACTTAAATATTGCATCGGCATATGGAACTAAAATAACAAATCTACTCCCACTGACCTTAATGTAGATACACCGATCTACGGTACTCTCTACAAAATCATAAGCAATAATGGTATCATTAAACTTAAGATACCATTGACGAGAGACTTATTTTAGTCCATATATCGATCTATTCAACTTACATACTAATGTTTCATTTCTTGTGATATAAAAAACTTTTAATTAGTTCATATAGATCTCCTTTTAAGTTTATCATTTAGAAGGTGATCTTTATATCCATTTGATAAAGCTCAAAATCATACAGAGCCACCATTACCATTACAATCTCAAGGAATCTTTTCTTGAAACGAGAGAAAATGTTTCCTTGTAATCAATGCCTTCTTTTTGGGTGTAACTTTTAGAAACAAGTCTAACTTTATATCTTTGGATATTACCTTTAGAGTCGGGTTTGGTTTCGAAAACCCATTTACACCAAACTCTTTTAGACCATTCAGGTAATTCTACTTAATCCTAAACTTTATTGTCATCCATAATTCTTTTATGCATTGATCAACTTTTCAGAATTTACACTTTTCATGGCTTGTGATTCATCAACCATAGGTTGTTCTATAATTTCTTGATTGCTTGTGATGATTCATTATCAATTTTGTTTGGATCATTTTGTTATTCATCTAAGTTACATGACGATACTGTAACTAAAAGAATAACAACCGTTGATGGACACTCGGGTCTGGACTGTTCAACGTGAGTTTCTTTAACATCCAAAATTTGCAGTTTCAAACTCCCACTGATTTGAACATTTTCAATGAATCGAGCATTGTTGGAATCAACTATTCTCGTACTATGGTTAGACCTATAAAACTTATATCCTTTAGAACATTTCTGATAGCCAATGGATAACCACTGACTGTCCTAGGAATAAGTTTCTTTTCATGTGGATTATATACTTTTATTTCTGCTTGACACCCCCAAACATGATGATGCTTTAAACTAGGTTTCCTACCCTTTCATAGTTCATAGTGTATTTTAGGAACTACTTTACTAGGAACCTTGTTTACCCAATATGCAGCAGTCTTTAATACATGCATCCACATAGAAAACGTTAATGTTGAATTACTCAACCTACTCCTAACCATATTCTTGAAGTACGATTTATCCTCTCAACAACACCAATATGTTGAGGAGTCTCAATTATAGTGTATTGCACACAAATAATTCAAATCTCAACAAACATTGCAAATGGACTAGGACATTATCCTCTTTTATTGAACTTACAATAATATTCACTACTCCAGTGAGATCTCACAACTTTTACTTATTTATCTAACTACCTCTCCATCTCATCATTGTTTATCTTTAGATAGCCCAATGATTGAGTCTTTTCATGTAGTAGATAAATATAACTATAACGTGAGAAATCATTTATAATGGTGATTAAATACTTTACATCACCCCACAAAGGGACGTTGAATAGACCACAAAAATTAGTGTGAA